AACTTCATTTTCTCCTTCGTTTTTAATGCTCTTTGTTCGAGCACACTTGTTTTGCTTTTTTTATCCTTTTTATCATGCGCTTTCTGGTATAACATTTCCGTTCTGTCATATTATATTTCCCTCAGCAGTTCTGAGCTAGTTATTCAAGATATTGGAGAAGGTAATTTCCCGGACTATAGATATGCCATCCTTGAGCACACTTACCATATTATTATTATTATCATTATTATTATTATTATTATTATTATTATTATTATTATGTCGCAGAGAAATCAACTGAATGCTACATTCTAATCAGGCAGCACAGGGCGAAAACCGTAACCTGTGAGCCATGGAGTAAAAAAATAAATGTACATTAACTAATCCTAAAAAGCTTTTCCATTGTGTCTACGGTCCTCCTTCTAACAGAAAGTCAAACTGCCACCTTGAAAGTCCGGGCAATATTCAGCGTGCCCGAGAGCACTGCCCTCTGCATCTTTCGCAGTACGTCTGTGCTTCTGCCTCCCACATCCTTCCGTTCGCCTGTTGTCGTCGTCCATCCGCCATGACACAAATCGCTCGCACATCCAAACAAAATCAAAATCAACTCAGCTAAAACTCCCGCTCAGAGACGCCAAATAGTCTCGCAAAACTGCTTAACAATCTGCAAAGTATACTAGATACTTCTTTAAGGATGCTCTGGCGCTCTAAACTCGGCCTGCTTTCGATGGGAACGGATTTTTATGAGAACACTCTAAAACACGTCCACACTACTTGCCGCCATGATTATTATTCCTTATTATTATTATTATTATTATTATTATTATTATTATTTTATTATAGGCTGAATTATCTTAAAGCATGAACGCTGTGCGGGTGTTACATATGTTCTTGATATACCAAAAGAAACTCCTCAAAGAAGGTGGCAGTAAAAATTTGCCACCGACAAACCAATGAAAAGGTCAGAACGGGGTTGTACATAATCTTAGAACTGGGCAGAGCAAAAAGAAGAGAAACAAAAACACTGTTGTTGGTTTTGAGAATCCCAGCAACAAAATGGACCGTTTAATTGCTTGGAAAGAGATCTGTGGGAAAGTTTGGACAGGTGTAGTTACTGTGACATTTTTAGAATGTTTGATTTCAAAACGTTCCAAATACTTTCGCAAGCGAAGACTTAGGAGAAAAAAAATCATTGGTTGTTGTCAGTGCGCAGATGGCTATACAGTGTGGACGTGGGATTGTCGGAGCCGAATGTTTGATTTCAAAACTTTCCGAATACTTTCGCAAGTGAAGACGATCATGATTTCGGAGAAGAAAATCATTGGTTGTTGTGAGTGCGCAGATGGCTATACAGTCCAGTCCTCGCTGTGAACTGTTTATTGCAATGTGGACGTGGGATTGTCGGAGGTGAGCCAAGCTGAGAGTTTATTTATTTATTTATTTATTTATTTATTTATTTGTAGTAACTTCCATTTAGTGACAAAGAATAATGATGAAAAGAATAAAAAAAAAAAGGTACTAAATGAGGGACAACGTACGGACTCGAGTTGGTGTTTGCTCTGCCTTTTCACTGCTGTCCTTTCTTGAAGTACTTCTATGAATCATACTTAAGTTTTAGTTTTTAGACTCGAGGGCGGAGTCTTATTTTTCCATTTTCTTTCTTTCCATTCTTTCTGTTTCATCCTGATTAAGTAAGGTACGTTTATCTTAAAAATGACGGACGAGTTGAAAGTCACACATTCTTTTCTAATGAGAGTGATTTTCTATTATGCCACTGACCCATTTTCTCGATATAATTTTCAAGCTGGCGTGTCACTGACATTTTGGGTGTCAGTGCTAAATTGTGGCGTCTACTTTTACGGGAGGAATCTTCGTTAGATGCCTCTAAACCGAAAATACTGGTTTGTTTGTTTGTCAACAACTTTACCGGGTGTGACTAGACCCGGAAGGGTTAGTGCGAACGGAACACAAGGTCCATGCGAGGCACCACCCCTCAGGCATCACCCCTGGTTATTTAAAGTGAGGAAGACAACACGAATTCTAAATTTATGGCTCGGTCATTTTCCCGCTAAACTTTGACATAGATCTACTAGGGGAGAAAACTTCAACTTGATCTTTGTCATGGCCAAAATTGCAAACAGCTTGGGCAGGCTTGGACTAATATATCCCGCTTCAATGCTTTAATTAAGATTTGAAATAGGTGTCTACCTCGGTACAGCACCCACCGGAGTGCGACTTGAGTGTGGTGACCGCGACTTAAGCACGGTGAAATATACCCGGCGACTCACAACAGAATACCCGCCGGAGAGCAACTTGGAGTGCGACTTGAGCGTGGTGACCGCGACTTAAGCACGGTGAAATATACCCGGCGACTCACAACAGAATACCCACCGGAGAGCAACTTGGAGTGCGACTTGAGCGTGGTGACCGCGACTTAAGCACGGTGAAATATAACCGGCGACTCACAACAGAATACCCGCCGGAGAGCAACTTGGAGTGCGACTTGAGCATGGTGAAATATACCCGGCGACTCACAACAGAATACCCGCCGGAGTTTCGGCGGATGCTGGTCTTATTGAAAGCACTGCGCTTGCAGTTTTGCTTAATATAACTCGACTATCTACGAAGGCCATCTTTGATCCTAGCTTCATAAGTCGTCCTGCAAGTTTCAGACGCAGAAAATTACGAATTTTCGTGGTTTTAAACATTCGTGTTTTCACGAAGATGCACAGTGGAAACTTGAGCTTAAAAGTATTTCCATACTAGATTAACGTCAAAGTTTGTCGAAGACTCAGTGGATGTTTCTATACTTGACTTTCGAGATCAGTGTCGAAGACAAATTAAATTATTAAACTTATGATTGTTATCAACGAATACTTAGCGTTATCTCACGTTGTTACCTTAAAATGGCTTGTCTAAGCCTGAGCATTTGAATACAATTTAAACTTTATGTTATCATGTCATTTTTGTGCATTTGTTTGTTAAAAATATTGTTCACTTCGTACACGTCGAAAGATCGAAGACTTGCGCTGAAGAGATTGATGCTCTTCGTTCCACGTGAATAAAATCTTTCGTTCTAGGGGTGGTTTGTACTCTTGGTGGGTGGTAACAAATCACCTCTTAATCCCATCACTGCCACGAGTGACTAGAGGGCCGGGAATTTCTGCTTTCTATATCAATACAGTTTTGAACATGGCGACAATCAGAAGGAAGAAAAATTTCCACTCTGAATCATTGTTTGACTTATAACACATTCTCGGCGCACAAATTATTGGTAATGTATGGCGGAAAGTGCAGAGAATCGATAATTATTGTGACTTAAAGAAAGTCACGACGATGACGGCAACTGACGAGAACGTGGCGAAACAAAAGATCTAGTGAGCAAAACAATAGCTCCGCACGTGCGTTTTAGATCTTTGAACATTTTTTAGCCGTCCCATACAGAACAACAACGTGAAATCGTCAACTTTTACCTCCTGTCATCAAGGAAACCTCAACAGCAGTTTCGTCACGTTCTAACTTTGAACTCACATGTCATTCACGTATCATGTTAAAGTTAAGATGTCGTACCGTCAGAAACGGTTAAAATATCGAGCTAATGGCGAAAATCCGAGAGGAAAATAAAGATTCTTCGGCAACGTTTTACTATACGTCGCCGTAGTGACAAACTAAAAAACTTCCTAATATCTTTGGCGTGCAAGGGTTCATTTTATCATATAAGGGAAACTGCATGGTGTGTCACCCTTATCTTACACCGTTAACCTGGTCCCAGTTGAGTTTGGAGATCCGTCATATCGTTAATGGAAAGGATGGTGGAGATAAATCAAGTAATTTAATCAGCATACGAAAACTGAAGGAAATAATTTCATGGAACGAGTCACGGAAAGAAATCGAGGAGAGGCCCAAAGTATTGTTGTTATGATATTTGTTTTGTTTTGTTCGCCAAGAAAAATTTCCGCCAAGGCTCACCTCGCAAGTACAGTCAAACCTGTATAAGCGATCATCAACGGGGAATGGCGTGTGACCGCTAAATAGAGGTTTCATATAATAGGGGTAATAGATAAAACGATGAGAAGATAAATTTAAGCCATCATTGACCACTAATGTACAAACACTCGCTCAGAAATACTACAAATATTGATTTCGGTAGAGAAACATGGATTAAATTTTACTTGAAAGATTATTCTTAGTTTTATTTGAGTTTTTCTGCTCGATAATACAATATTAGGCCGTTGGGAATTGCCCAAAGGTGACCACGATCGCTAAATAAAGGTGACCGCTTAACAAAGGTCCAGATTGCAGTGATTAATAGGAAATAAATTCGAGACTCGACAACCGACCATTTAATACAGGTTCGATTGTATGATGTTCCGCCTTTCATTGTTGGTAATGCAGTAAGACTAAACCTTAGCAAGTTACATGAAGACGCGTGCAATGTAATTAAAACGAGTAAAAGTCTAAATGAAAGTGGTTTATAACTGAAAGATTCAACATAACACATCTTAAGTGTAATTTCTCTTGTGTGTTCGTGGTTGTGAGGCAAAGTTGTAGCCAAAATAACTCGTCGGGAATCCACACAATTGTTAACGTTTGTGACTCTTAATAGAACGGAAATGACTGGGACACAAAAATTTCCTTTTGATAACAGGAAAGCCTTATGATTATAACCTGGCCCGATTGTACTTTCCGGTTTGAAATGTTTTGTGACGTTTATAAATTTCATTTCCTCGAAAACAAGCCCTTGACAACTTGCGCAGATTTCCAATATCTTCAAAATTTTAGTTATGACTTGCTGTTTGCCCTGTTTATTTGATACCAAGGGTCATCGCTTTCTATTTCATGGACTTCGTGATCTCGCTAAGGGCCCTTTATGATAATGTTTATCAAACAGACCGCGGGATTGATTTCTGAAGTCCATTAATTTACATTTTAACATATTTAAATTAAACAAGTGTTGTTAATCTAGATAACGGCAACTTAACCATGTAGAGTGTATTTTCAGCACCAAAAGTGGTCTTTTAACAAGACCTCTGTTCTCTTTTTTCGATCTTCACCGGAAGTAACGAGTGTGCTGTCTCACTCTTTCACATATCGTGACCTCCTCTTCAGTCTTAATAACTTTGTTATTTATTTTACTCTTCCGCTTACTTATTGTAAATATTGTTTCCTCCAATTTGTTTACCATGCACCTCTTAGCTTAAATAACTTGGCGAATTTTTAGTGATGAACTGCACATCTAATAATGGGGCGGGGCTGAAAACTGCTTTTTTACCGCTGATTCTTAAGAGTGGGCTAGCTGATGGTTAATATTTCCTTTCTTTCCTGCGATAAAATCGCTCCTAACGATATTTACATAACCAAGGCAAGCAGCTCTAGCGAAACCTAAACTGTAGTTTAAATAGCTTTAAAAACGATTCGCGGAACTCTTTGTTGAAGAAAGAATACAAAATAGGATTCATCGCCGAATTCGCGTAGGCCAACACTAGGAATACCCTCCACAGCTGCAGATTGACTCTAAAAAAACACTTTTTACCGCAGAACACGCCGATCATCGAGGTCAGAGTCAGCGGCATCCAGCACAACAGAAAAGTGGATACAATGATGGCGATAGTCTTGGCCGCCTTTATGTTCTTTGAAATGCGTTTCTTCTCAGATGTCATGACTCCTGAGTCTTCGTTGGAGCAGGACAACACTGGGGGGAGACTCGCCTCTTGCTTGGCGATTCGCTTAGCATGTTTACGAGCAATCATGTAAATGTTGAAATAAATCACACACGTTATCACCGCTGGTAAAATGAAATTCACAGCCGAATTAACCCCTGAGTAATATGGGTGAATGTTGAAACGGCATTGACCATTAGTCACACTACGCTCGGAATACGGCCAGCTAACCATTCCTACGGTTGTGAATGTTAGGGTATACAGCCATATCATAGCTATGACCAGCAAGGCTATTTTGGGCTTCATCACAGTGTAATATTTCAGCGGCCAGCTGATGGCAAAAAATCTGTCTAGGCTGACCGCCATCAAGTTCAGTAATGAAGTTGGCGCGGCGATGAGGTACATAAACACCCTGAAGTTGCACATGAACTCACCTTTTCTCCACCCAAGGTGCGTAAAGTTGTCCTCCACGTCGAAAGGCATGGAAAGCAATGCAGTCAAGAGATCAGAGATGGCCAAGGAGAATATGAAGTAGTTGGTTGTCTTTCGAAGGCGTTTGTTGAGTCCAATAGCCAAGCACACAAGCAGGTTTCCACAGACACTACCAATGATGATGACGATTATCAGAGAAGCGACGAGAAATCGAGAGAGCTTATCAGAAGCAGGAAAATTTGTGTTTATCTCAGGAGAAGTTTCGTTTGGTGAGCGTGTTGTGTTGTTGTAATCCATGTTTGACGGCCTTGGGCCTTGTGGATCCTTAAGAACTTTCCTACACAAGCAAAGAAGTTTTAGCGTCTCGACCTTATCGCAGTAACTGGTGTCTTACCGCTTCCTTAGTTCCTACGATGAGGCTGTTAGGTATCCAGCAGTATGGATTACTCCTTCTATATCAAGGTTCTTTTTCTTGACTCTAAGCACCAAGTGTGAGCGATGGGTTATCTCTGATTGTGATTGTTTGCGACGAGTACAAGTCACCTTTCCCCTACAAAGCGGCCTTCCGTCAGATCAAGCACGGCTGTTCAAATGAAAATAATAGAGCTGTAGTCTGTGTAAATACAGCGCTTGATGGTTTGCGCTCCTTTTGAATTTGAATTAATATTTTGACATGTTCATATCAATGTCTTTGATAATGGAGATAGAGTACGTGACGATGATGCTTCTTGTCACAATTTTCGATTAGTGTCAGAATCGAAGAGTAAGCACCAGGGTGCTGTTCTACAACTGGTGTGGCTGTAGGTAGCCAATTCTGATTTTACCAGCGTGAGTCAAAATGCTCTTGTGTTTTCGTTGCTGGGTATAGTTAAGGACCATCAGATAAAAAAATGACCTAAAGAGGGAAGAAAAAAAAAAGATGATTATATTTTCTTGGCTTAGTTATGCGCAAGAAACAAATCAGCATCTACAAACTCAGAATAAATTGACGAAAACAATGAAGCGTTAAATTCGTTTAATCCTAAGGTAAACTTCAAAGAGGCCCCTATTCTGTTAAGTGAAGGACATTTCATTAAATCATTTGCGCTCCTTCGGATAGGAACCTTTGACACTGCAGAACAAGCTACTCGACATCAAGTGATAACGCGAACCTTTTTAATTTTCTCGTTAAACTTGAACAGAGGTATATAAGCTAAGGTTGTAAGCTATAAAAAAGTGATAACCGCCTTATTTATCAAACGAAAAAAAAAATCCCCCCCCAACCACTAAAATGCCCTAGACTCCCTACGCCCTTCCACCTAATAAATGACTGGTTCCTAAATTTTCAAGAATAGACACTTCAACAACCACTGAGTAGTTCTGATACAGTAAATGGCTGTCAAATAAACTTACTGGAGCTCCGCCTATTATGCTTCTGACTTGAACTAATGTGGGCATGCAGTTGGTCACGCACTTGCGCAAAGTTGAAGAGATAGGGCGCAACATTTTTGATTAGGATACATGGTTACGATCTTTGCTGTAACTTTGCCGCACAAGTTTAAAGTCAAATTAAATTATCACCAATTTATCTGATGATCACACACACGATGAACTATAACATGACTCAGTCACTAATCGCACTGAAGTATGTTCAGTTAAACTCATGGAAAGAACGAGTTTGTGGTAAGTTCATTAAAAGGCAATTATCGAATTTATCTCAGTCAACGGATTGGATTTCATAGATTGCGAAAATGTTTCTTTTCTTCAGAGGAATGTCTGGAGAGGAAAGAAAAGTTCCGACCCGTAGAAACAAAAATAACAGCTTTCATGAAATAACACGAGACTCATCGCCGACTATGGAACAAAGGTAACAAAGGAGAAATCGTCCCGAGTCCACTATAGAGAGACAGATGAGAAAATGAAAAGAAAAGAAAGAGGGTTTGAGGGAGTGTACAATCAGACTAGAGGAATTTGAATAGCACCGGTTTAACTTGCGGTTTACTCGTGATAATGGACTATAATGAATAAACCAGGTGCTACTCAGTATGTTGCGATAAGTTGTAACTTTAAATTGTGCTTAAAATTGGTTTCAACAAATATGGTTGAACAAAGGATTGTTTGAATTATGCAGAACTTGGAAAATGCTTTTCCAAGTCGAGTCAATGTTTTTGACTCTTAGCATGTTAGAGGGCCCTGTCCTCCCCCCAAACAGACGACAGCTATGGATGCCGAACAAAACTATCGGTCTTGGAAACCACTTATCCTCAAATCTGGAAAGGCTGCTAAGACTGTCTCTTTGTTTTGCATTTCAGGAAACGTATTGTAGCCAGTCAGGTAAATTGTAGCGGTCATAATTTAGGATTGAACCTTAGAAGTTTTTAGTCAAAATTTTTATCGTCTTAAAATAATAAGCTCATATCATTCAAGTTTCTTGGTTGCCATTTTCATTGTAATCTTCTCTTTTCTTAATCATTCTCTTTCTTTTTGTATACAATCATTCTTCCCAACTTGTTTTTCCTTTTTTTTTTTAACTGTGTCAATCTAATATTTTGAGGTTCCCTCAGTTGAAGCATAACTTTCCTCGTCAAAGAAAACGAATCAAGAAATCGTGATTTTTCTTAGCGATTAACAGATAATAGCACACAGATCAGTTAGAATTCAACATCTGTAATTCTTGATGTGGCGTCAAGTAGTGGCGTCATTATTGAAATTGTCGAGATAGCTCATTGTGAAAACAAGCTTTCGACGCCGATAGTATACCAAGAGATTATCCCCTAATGGTAGCGAGATGATAGGGAAATGATCGGGTGATCGGCCTTAAACACGAAGGCGCGCTATAAAAGGGCATCAGCTCCTCCCCCTAATTTTGAATTCACCGAAAAAAATAAAGATGGCGGACGATGAGGAGAACCGCAACGAACACTTAGTATTTGTTATACTCGTCAAAAGCAATAAAACATACCCAGAAACGGTCGAAAAACATCAGTAGAGTTATTTTTCTGTGAGGAGTTTTCTTTGGAGTACAATATTTCCTCGTTACGTGTAAAAAACTTGCACGTCAACGGTGAGTGACAAATGAGCCTAGGTCTTCCCAGGGAAGACTTCCTTATTTAGCGCGCCTTCGTGTTTAAACGAAGAGCTCGTCTTGTTCTTGCTAAAAATTTTACCAAACAGATGTTCGTTGTCTCTAAGATTGAGGGAGTGGTTCTTTCTGACAGCGCACCAACGACCTTTATCGTTCTCCTGCAACTCTTCATTACCCTCGTACAACTGTGTTACAACTCAAGCTTACTCATATTCAAGGTGATGAAGTCAACTGGAAATTTTTCTGCTGCATAGAGCATGTTTGTTTATGCATAGCTTGGTGATTCAGTTCAGCTGGGTGGACTTCCTAGATCAAATGTAAAATTTGAAAATTACTGAAAAAAAGGGCAGTTTCCTTTGAAACGATCACATAAAAAGGTTCTCTGACCGGGAAACACCCAGACAGTAAACAGTTTTGCCTAAAATTGTGTGAAAATAACGTTTAGGCAAATTGAGTTTAGGAGAGTGCAAATGAGCGAATCTGCATTTGGAAGATAAAAAAACGGAAAACAAAGCATTCGAAACAGTGACAAAGTAAGGAAAGAAACTAAGTTTTAACTAGTCCAGGATACTCATCAATATGCGACTTGGAGATATAAACTGTGAGTTTTTCACAACCTTGAATAAACTGAGGTTCTTTCTTCCGGAGGTAAGCCAGCTGAAAACACCCCATGGCTCCAATACAGGTTTTGTCTTCCCTTTTCACAGCTCAGATTGAAAGCAAGACAAATTGAAAGCAAACTACTTTTCGTCCAAAGACTCAATTAATACAGTCTAATAACCTAGTTGCCATCTAACAGTAGAAATAATTTTTTTCTTTCATCAAAGAAAGACTCAGCTAAGGCCTTATTTTATCATCACTGATATCACGCACTGGTGAGGCCCAGAGGGCCGAAACAGTACTGTCTGCAGTTAGATATAGCTCTTTGGCATACAAAGCTCTGCTTTCGTGTCCAAATTGAGCACTGTGAGATGAGTCATCGCCGCTAGCATTGTGCATAGCTCACTAGGCTCTTCTAGTTTGAGCACTCTGGCATGGCTTAGACGATACCACAAGTGTGGGATCTTTTGGGGATTCATATCGGTTCTCCTCCATCCTAGCATCAGCACTGCACTGATGAGGCCCAAAATGCCGAAACAGTCCCGATCACCGTATCTAAATTATCCAATTATTATAATCAATCATTGTAAGTTATCAACTACCTCTGTAAATAAAACATTGATTTAAAAAAAAAAAGAAAAAAAGTACTGTCTGCAGTTAGTTATATATGTAACCAATTATTACGCTGGAATGCTCCTTATCAACTATCAAAGTGCTCAATAGTTGGACTAGAGCAGA